GGAAACGAGCTGCAGACTAGATACGATAAGAGTCCCCACCATTCCTCTCGCATCTCTTGAATTGAGAGCTAAAGGGAACGTGCGCGGATTATACCTCGGTGTCGCGTTAGCTTTCGCCTCTGAAGAGTTTCGATTCCGCCAGTGGGAGGGAGGCGCTCTTTTGTCCCGCGAGAGGCTCCGTTCGCCCCCGCAGGGCCCGCGGCCGCGTGGCGCGAGCTTTTCGCCCACCGCCGCCGCCGCCACTGCCGCCTCCACGCCGCCACCGCCACCGCACGCCTCCACCGCCGCCACCGTCACCGCCGGCCACCGCCACCCACCGCCCCGCCGCCGCCACAGCCGCCACCGCCACCGTCCCACCGCCACCGCCGCGACGGCGCCCGGAGGCTGACACCAAGAGCGCCCTCTTTCACAGGCGCCTGCGGCCAGCTCCGCTCGCGGTTTTGCGGGCGCGCGCGGGCTTTGATGTGCGGGCACACACCGACAGCCTCCCTCGAGCGAGGACTTTTTCCATCCGTGTGGCAATTCTTCTTGCTCGGCTATGAGGCCTGGGTGGTCGATGACGCACAGCTCTAGTTTACGTGGGTTGCGGTTAAAGAAGTGGGATTGTGGGAAACCCTTCCGCAGCACGTAATACCACGTGAAGGAATTGAGTGGTAAGGAATAGGTGCAAGTATTCCAACTTTCTCTCGTAATCCATAGAAGAGGTTCGCAAACTTAATATTCTACCCCCCACGCTTGACTTTAACTATTAATATATTACTCGTATTGAAAATTTCCATATCGACAGTTTTCCTTAATTATTCCTCAATTTATAAAGACAATTAAAGATTTATTTAATTTATTTTTAATGAACGTAGCAGATAATTACAAGCTTGTGGAAGAAACTCCACATGATAAAGCTTTAAAATAGAGCATTTGTGCCTATACATATATGCGTATAAACATTTCTTGGAAATATTCTCCGAATTTTTAGATGAGTTGTTAATTTCATATTTAAATTCTTCCTTGAGAGTTGTTTACTTAGCCCTCAGAATGCTATCGCCCTGAGGGAACGCGTACTACAGTTCAAAAACCCCCAATCTAAACCATTAATACCCTGAATCTTTGTAACACAATACTTTGTGCAAAATTATTATTAATAATAATAATAATAATAATAAACAAAAACAATGTTGACAATTATAACCAATGATGCATATGTAATAAATTCTTCCGTTCCCATTGTACGACATTTCCTTATGATTTGGTTATTTTGTAAACAACATCAAATGATCCAAGACGAGCTGTCCTCAAACACTACTTGTTACTGGAGCTGTGTCCGAGTGCTTTACCTGCCATTCTACGGCGAATCACACCTCTTTGAGTTTTTTTATGGAAGCCAAACCTCATAAATAGTAAATTTCGTGGTCTAAGAATAGCTGCCTCGTTGAAAATATAAAATTGAACAATCTTCTGTAAATATATTTTCAAGAAAAAATAGTTGAATTTTTTTCTTTAAAATGTATTTGCTTTTTAATATGCTCGGGTCGTCCTTGAGGGCAGAAGTTCATGCGTCACGTTCGAAGCGGCCCTTCTCCCGGAGAATGTCACAAACTCATCCCTTTCAAGGCCAGCACGAAGAGCCGGCTCACGAGTGCTACGCTCGTAACTATAAGCACTGGTGAAGCACTCCACTCTTGATTTTTTTTGTGAGACGGGTTCACTGATGAAATGACAGAAAACGAGAGTTGTCTCTCATTGTTTTATGTACCACTCTTGAGTGCAATACTGTTCAAATGCATTCCCTCTGAAAGAGGTAGCTGTCATTTTGCTATTATGCTTCAGAAGTCGTGACCCACTGAAGTGCGGATGCCTTTGTTTGAAACAGTTCTGTTAATGCGTCTTTCATGAAACAAAACGACACCCTATTCAGTTATGAATAGTTAATTGGTAGGTGTTCGCGTGTCATGAGAAAATTCTTCGACGTATCTTTTGGACGATTTAGCTAGCGAGTTTAACGGTGCAGTTCCAAAGGAGTTCTCATGTCAGATTCTCCTTCCTCATCCCAATTTGGAGAATTCTAACCTGGAACATTTCACAAGCAAGCCATGTTAGTCCCCATTCCCCGTCCTTGTTTGACCATTCCTTACGATTTGTGCATTTTCTATACACCGAAAATGGACTGACCGCTGCTTTCTAGTTTCCATTCTGGACCTCAACGTCATGCTAGTAAGGTTACACCGAGCACCTCCGAGGCACCCACGATACGTCTCCGCCGCATTGTACGAGAGCAGCTTAAAAGAACAAGGGGGAAGAAAGAAAGGTGCTATTGAGCGTAGGAGTGTCTACCCACGTCACGTGACCTTTCCCGGCCGCGGGGCGCCCAGGGGAGTCGCGGGCGCCGCGCCGCAAGTGCAGGAGGACGACGTCGAACACGCGACCAGAGGCTCTTTCCTTGCTATTATTTACGACTGCGGGAAACGGGACTCGTCGGCATCGAAGGGTTGAATGGGATCGGAAGGTCGTGATCTGTGAACAAGGTTGCGTAAATGTAAAGCCGTCAAATTCCGGATGTCAAAAATATGTTCGCGAGGAAATACGTATATTCTGCGGTTGGTCATATGTTACTTGAATAGTTCCATTTTAAATCAGGATGCATTTTATTACACGAGTTTCTCATCATTACCACTACTTTTTATTTTGGTACAGTTTAAAACGTGTTTGTGCCACCGATGGAAGGGCATTATTACAATTAATTTTCTGTACTTGGAGTTGCTATTGAAACAAAATATAAAGTAATGACTTTTTTTTTAATAAATTGGTGCTTCATCTAATTTAAATAGGTCTCGGGAGCTTTCATTAATAAAACAAACGGAACCCGAAAATGTCCTTGAATAATAATGTAAGCTTTTTTTATTATTTTCTTCGAATTTCAGATATTAATGAAAGAAAGAAAATGATGTGGTATTTCGGTAGCTTAATGGACCCTGAACGGATCAATGCCTCACGACTAGTGAGCCCCATATCTAATGGAGCCCCCGAACTCCGCCGCAGAAGAAAACGCCGCGATCCCAGCGTAGCGCCACCGCAGAAAGAAAAGAACAGAAATCCACACTCCGCCGCGCTGCCCCGCCCCCGTCCGCTGCGCCTTCCCTGCCAACGACCTAGCGGTGGGAGTAATAGCATCCCGTTCTCTTTGGGAGAACGAAGGAGAGCGGGAGCGGAGCGGAGCGGGGCGGGGCGCGGCGCGGCGTGGCGGGGGCGAAACAAAAGCCGTCCGCAATCTCGCGCCGCCGCGTGGAGAGGGCTTTGTCTTTGCGGGCTTCGCCGGGCGGCGCGGCGCGGCGCGGCGCGGCGTACCCGGTTCAGTGCATAGATAATAACATTCCGTGCAGTATAAGGCGCCGGCGGTGGCGCGAAAAACCGTTCCATGAGTCACCCTCGAGCGAATACACAAAGCGAAAGGCGATCGGCTGCAACGCGGGCGGGCGGCCGGGCTGGCTGGCGCGGCCCCCGCGGCCCGCGCGGTCAACTAACCATGCGGCGTTTACGTTTAACAAAACGAGGTCAACCGATATTAATACCGCGTGTAATGTTAACTGGCGGCGGCGTGCAAGGAGTACGAAAGAATTTCACGAACCAAAGCCCGGCCCCGCCCCTCCCGCCCGCACCGCCGACGTGCCGCGAGCTAGTTGCAAAGAGAAGAGAAGGGGCGGGCGGGTGGGCGTGAGCGCGCGAACTGCAGAAATGTCAAGGCTGAATCTTGCCCCGCGAACGCCAATGGGAAGAGAAACGCCTCGCCGACGCGGGGTGGGGGGGTGGGGGGGGGCGAGGCGGTAATCTCAAAGCGATAACAACCGATAGCGCCGCCGCTGCCTCCGTGGGATTTGGGTGGAGATTACGCGAGCGACGCGGCGCGGCGCCGCTGGCCGAGGTGAGGAATCAGCTGCAGCGACTATACGGCACGGCTTGATAAGAGGCGACCCTCAAGGACGGCTAAGCACCGGCGATGAGCCATGCTGTAGGTGCAGTCGAATTATTATATCGCGTATGCATACTGTGTATATAGATCGAGATGGAACGGCGGACGACTTAGCCTTAAAAAAGTTAATTGCCTGAACTTTGCTTGTCACTTTTATACTTTATGGATCGAAAAATGAGGTTGGCATGACATTTTATTGACTTGGTTAACAATGACTTGAAATACAATACTCATTACATGTCAGAGATATCATGTATCAGTTATTTCACACATTTTTTTCAGACCAGCTAATAAAATGCAGAAATAGATGGCAATTTATTGAATACATATTAAAGAAAAGATAAGCTGTTTTATTCTTTCAATCATACGAAGAAACTAAAAGGAAGATGCCTTCTAAACAGTTGGCATGCTTCATAAAAGCTGTTTTTGTTTCTTTATTTTTGTGGAAATTCCCCCCCAAAAATACTGTAGGAAGGGAGTCGTTGGCTGAAAATGAAATCGCCTGCCTTGTCCAAATCAGAGACGTACGCACAAAACAACGGCAGGCTACTTCGGAAAAGAGTTGTGCGTTCGATTAACAACCCATTCTTTTTCAGCACTATATAATACAGTAAGACGTATAAATTGATGTTTCGAAATCCACGTTGCTTAAAACTTTGTATTCTCTCTAAAACTGTTTTCGCCCCCCTCGTTTGATTTCGAAACCATCGTCCTTTCGCGAGTCTCACAGGTTGGCAGGTATCCGACTGGTGTAGATGAGATAACGAGGAGATACACAGAACTTGCAAGGTGAACTCAAGTGCACAGCGAAGGGAAAACCACAAAATGCACGGAAGTTTTATTAGATGCTAAATTCTAAAGAGATCTCCGTCCATGGAAAATCCTACAAGTTGCTTCTTACTACGTAAATACTGTACTTAAAGCACAATAATATCTTGTGAAATTTACTGTAGTTTTATTTCTGTTTTCTCCACAACATTTTATCTGTGCAGTTGGGATGAGAACTGTTAAACCAAAACGGTTATGTTTTCGCTACAATTTACGTCTGAAAACCATAAATATTAAGTACGTTTTCTGTAAAGAATTATATCCTTTTTAAGTACATTATTAGGGATAATAAAAAATATGTGCTATGATTGTGACATAATCTTTGTGAATCATTGTGAAAGGTCTGGAGATACATAATACGTTCTCGTTTCTTATCCTGAAGTAGTTATATAACGAATTGTCATTTCCTTCACAAGAGTAATCCCTTTTTAGCCACGCTCACGAGAACATAAGTTACAACGAAGACACTGCATTTCATCTTAGTCAATTTTCAGTATCTCTTCTGCATGTATGCATGTTTTTGATGTGGGATAAAAAGAAACAAGCCATTCTCTAACAAGACTAGAAAAGAGTCAATGAGGGTTGAGAACTCCATTATTATTAGATGTTAATCACCATAACTATCTAGTATTGTAAACTTTTTCAGCACTTATAGTAGGATAAGTCAGTAATGGGGCCGTTGCGAATGTAGTTGACGATTGGAATAAGCCTTATTACCTTCCTATTTCGATTCATTGATGATCAACACGGTTGGGGTTTGAGGGCGGTTGTCCAGAGTGTGGGGATTACAAGGGATTGTACAAAGCATTCAGGAATTTCTTTCAAGGCTCTTAATCTGAAAATTCTGAAATAAGTTGATAGTATTCTGGTTGGAAATGATGATGGATGAAGAAAATGCGGAAGTCGTATAGTGTTGAGGAATTCGCCGACCTGGATGGCCGAGGTGGGTGGCTAGAGCGTGTGCCGACTCAGTGCCTCGGTCTGAAGGGTCGCGCGTTCGAGTCCCGCCGCGGGCATGGGTGTTTGTCCCTTGTCTTTCCTTTCATGTGTGTTGTCGCGGAATGCCTTGTGAGTCTGCTGATCAAAGACCGAGGAGCCCACAAATGTGTCAGTGTCTAGTGTAATGGCTAATATGTGTCTGCATGAAGGACATTGTCGGTACCCGGCGGGGGTACTCACAATCGGCATCCCCTGCAGCTGGAAAAGGCCCCAGGAAGAAAAAAGAGTAGTGTTTCGTAATCAAAGTTGGGAAAGAGGTATTACAATTTATTGGAAGATAATTCTTCAAAACTGGCTGTCTAAATTAATTTTATTTTCTTGTGTGAAGGAGGGGTTAATTTTAAAACTGGTCGGCATACATAAGAAATGAAATAAAAGACTACAATTCCTCCGTTGGAACTCGCGAATTGAAATCAAATTAGTAGTCCAGGATTTGTGGAGGAACTTTTTGTACTGGATTTCACAGAACTTTCAATAAACATCTTAAACTGGAGAATTTCTCACAAAACAGCAGTGTTGTAAGTTAACGGGGCAGCGAGGAGATCTGTATTATACTCTTAAGCATTTTCAGTGAGTTTGTTTAAAACTTTTTAATCGCGAAAAAGAATATCATCTAATGTATTGGTATGTATTTTTAATTTAACGAGTGACTTAGACGCACTAAGTCGTTTGGACTTTGACTCTCCTCGATATGAGTGATAACGAGAAGATAAAAGTATTGACGACAATCTAACAAGACTTGGCTGATGTTTGGTGCAACGCCAACTGTAAAATCACGCGCGATTGCTGCAGTTATTCTAGAGTGTAGATTAGTTCTTTTAGGTTGCCACAGAATTTCTCGTGGTAACATTGTTCTCGCCTTCTCGTTTCTTCACAACTTGATGTATCGGCGCTGTATTGAAATGTTTATCTAATCAAATCATATTTTCTAGCTGGAAATTTTCACTTTAAAGCCCATAGATAACTCTGAGGTTTTGTGTAATGCATACTAATTTACGAAGTCCCCTATATAATACATGGGTATTACGAACAATAGTCTAAGGTTAATAGTGAGTGAATGAATAATTTTGAGCAATGGTTAATAAGCACTATGGTTTTGGATACGCGCACGCGAGGGTGTTTGTTTGTTTTGGAGGATGTTTCACCTGGACAAGAAACAAACTAAAAGAAATGAAACTCAGAATGAATTTATGGAAAGTAGAGATGATGTGACTTCAAACGTAAATGTATGCTTACCTCTTTATGGTTCATGTTTGTTACAAACAAGAAATTTATATCACCGACCCTCGCGGTAACTAATACGATGTAGCCTATAGGGCAGAAGATGGCGACACCACTGTCACCCTATCACAATAGTTTCAAATAATGTTCAGTTTCTTTGGGCACAGTATACTTCACTCGATATTACACATTTCAAGCAAAAGTTATAAGGTGACTGAACTACTAAGTACTGTCACGCGATATTCATAAGACCATTTCTTTAATTAAAATATTATCTGGTTATTAATACCGTAGTAATGCATTTAATATCCGCGGAAATGCGGGGATATACAATGTAGCACTCAAATTGCTATATCATGCACATATTTGTGAAAAATATTTTTTCCGTACCTTTAATTTCTGAATTTTGTTATATGTTATTGAGATAGTTTATTAATTCGTATGTATTTTTCAATCCAACGTTATTGCTGACATCAAGACGTCCGGGCACTCTGGATTCACATGAAATGTGTTGATTTGTTGGTGGAGTACATGCATATCTTTTGGTAGAGTTTTTATGCTTTTTGCTTGATTTTACTTGCGTGAGAAACGTGGTCCCTTTCGTTAAGACCCCTTCCCTCTTAATAACTTGAACACCGTTAGAAAAAACCTGTTCGAAGTTATTCTGTGACTGGAAAGTCGGCAATCACATTTTCACGCAATTAGCATGCATTATAATCACAAAATGGTAGATGGGATATCCATATAATTCTTATTAAAGAAAAGGCTTAGCCGGTTACATTCTGTAGTAGACTCGAAAGGATGAATATTTGAGTGGCTTCTAAGGGCTCCAATAAAATACGCTTCGGAACTATTAAAATGTTGTGACCAAGGTTTCAACGTCTTCATGCTGCCGAAGAGATTAACGCAGTAATTCGGGACAAACTGTTGCAGAGTCTCTGACCGGGAGATCCTAGGATTCGAGTCACGACTGTGGCAAATTTTCGACCCTAGCTACAAAGCTAGATGGAATTCGGGCTATTTCTAGAGAGGAATTCGAGTGACCGGCTGCCCTGATCTGCAGATTTCCTTGGTTTCTCCGATCAAAACCAAGCGAATGCCGAGCAATATTTTAACAAATGGACCCCGCACACATACTCCTCTGCATTACCAAATAATTCGGAAGCTTCGACCTTGTCCCGCCCCCCAGCGGAATTAACTGAATGGGGCAACCTCCGTAACAGATATATGTAGGTCGGCTTCGGATCTCACCTAATAAAACACTGTCACGTCCCGGATTTGCTCATACACTACACGGTATCAATACGGTACCAATAGCCGTAGCAGTTGAAGCGCCCGGAAACACAAATTAATCATTCAATTCAAGGGGTTCTTTTGTCACGTAGTGTGTGGGACTCAATTTGAAGTTTAGTACATTTTCGTGCCTCCAATGTGCGATGAATCAGTGATACATAGTACAATTGAACACAATGGAATACTTTGAGGTCTATTTATGCCGTGGAGGTTTTGAAATATGTTGAAATATCGCTCGTCGAAAACGTTCCGATAATCGGTCGAATATATTAACATTTATAACATTCGCATCCAGAAATATTGAAGTGTTGGGTCTAAGTGAAACCGATGTCATTTTTTGATTATTCCGATTAAACAGACTTCGGGCGGGTCCCTGATTTTGGATGGCTGGAGAATTAATTATTATACTTCGACAAGGATTTTAACTTCCATCACATGATTTTCATTGCATTTCGATTTATTTCAGTCTCAATATTCCTGCTAGGTATTTGTACATTTAGAAATGAAATAGAGTACTTCACAAAATGGTGTCGGCATAACAGATTAAGCTAGCTCAAGAATTTTTAAATACTGACGTAAGTAAAATAAAATATTTAAAATAATTGTTGTAGGATAAGTTACTGTTACCAGCTTTATTTCTTAAGGATACGTTACCTTTACACTTCTTTTTTCAAAAGTGAGATTTGTATGTCAATATGTCGTGGCCTTGGACGCACAGTTAGCTATCGAATCTGCGTTGCAAGTTGGAACATGCAAGGGCCACCCTCGCAGCACACAATGAACTGCTGTAGTTCGCACACATGAGCAGGCGCTCTCTGCCCGCGACACGTCTCCGGTTGTCGGAAAACGAGCGCGGCACCCACGCGGACTCCAGCGTGCCGGGACTTGCCCTTCTTTCCGCACAATAACAAACCACCCGCCGCCCCTTTTCCGGCGAGAGCGCGGCGGGAGGGCAGTCCTTTGCGCGGTGTGCCGCCCCACCGCCCTTCGGTGCAGCACCCTCTTCCACATCCCCGTCCTGCCCTTCCCCATCCTGTCAACCAGCCCCCCATGCCAAACCTCCCGCCTTGCCCGCCCCGCCCGCCCCCGCCTTGCCCGGCCCCCCCCGCCCCGCCTTGCCGGCCCCGCCCCGCCCCGCCTTGCCCGCCCCCTTGCCGCCCGCCCGCGGCCGCCCCGCCCCTGCCGCCGCCTCTTGCCCGGCCCCGCCGTCCGCCCCGCTTCTGGCAGCGCCCCGCCTCGCCCCGCCTTGCCCCGAGACCCCGCCCCCAGCCCTTGCCTTGGCGCCGCCCAGCCCGCCCCCGTTCTCCTCCGCCCCCGGCCCTTCCCCACCCCACACGCTGCCGCCCGACCTCGACCCGGCCTCAAACTCAGCCCCGCTCCGTCCCGCCCACACCCGGACTCCCGTTCGTCTCGCTCCACTTCCTCCCGGCCCTGCACGTCCCACCCCGACGTGCCCTTCCCCGCCCTGCCCCGCGCTGCTTTTTCTCGTCCCGCCCCCTCCCCGGGGCGTTTCTCAAGCTCCAAAGAAGCCCTGCTCCTTCCTGCACGTGCTTCACGGCGGCGCGGTGCCGTGCGCGCTCCCGCACCGTAATCGGTATTCAAGATGAATACATGTGACAGAAAGCGGTGGCCCTGTCTATAATTTAGATGCTATCACTTGAGTCAAAGATATCCTCGTTTTCAAACCCGTTTGTGTTTGCTGCTTCTTTCGCTGCTTCTCTGCTTTCGCTGTAAACATTGGGTCCGAAAATTTGCGAAGTATTTTGTAGACCAGGGGTTCCCAGTGGGGACGGAATCGACTCCCTAGAGGTCGATGAAAGTTTGTAGGGCTCAATGATGAATTAGGAATCAAATAGGTGTCAATTGTGAATATTAATAAGGTAGTGTGCAAAGTAATCAAGGTTTAGATCCCATTAATTACAAAAATAGCTATTAATTAACTTGATAATTATTTTCTGATATAAAGCAACAAATACAACAAATACAAAAGTACATAATAATATACAAATCCGCTTCTCTTCTTTGGAATCCTTCGTTCATAGTTAGGTTGAATGCGTAGAAAACTCAAAAAGTTATACATAACTGTGTTTTCACAGTGTTTCTCTATCCCGGAAGTAAAGAATGTCTGTACCGCTTACCGTTTTGTAACCATTGCAGAACTTTGAAGATTAAAAAAATCAGCCACTTACAAGCGAAAACATGTTCGATTAGAGAAAATTAAGATATTTACGAAAATATTGGGGTATGAAATTACTTTCCAGGCATTTATACGTAATTTTTGGTGATGTGATTATGTAAGCTGCGTATTGTAAAGAAAAATGTTGAGTGGTCGATGTAGCAAACAATTATTTTAATAGGGGTCGATGAGAGAAATATGTTGAGAATCCGTGTTACAGAGTAACGAGTCTTATTGTCTGAATGTAAGTAGAACGTACTATTCCCAGTGCCTAGAGTAGTAAAGCGAAATCGTGTTTAAGAAATGCCTGGGGAAAAATATCTTCAGTTTCATTTCTGACCGTGAGGGCAACTTTTGACATTAAATTGGGTTTGTGCCACAAAATTTTTATTTTTTTATAAAAATAATTGGTGCTGTCAAAGATAAACGATGTATTCATTCCAGTGTTGCTTCAAATTGAATTTTACTATTGATTGTGCACTGTAATACCATTGCCGTTGCATTGCGTAACTCGAAATTTTCAGTTTTATTAAAGATGATTTTCCCAATTTCTTGTATGTTAATTTATATTCCCGAATATTTTTGTTTTGTTTTTTCTCTCGTTTCATATCCCTTCCACCAAAGAGAAGGCTAACGATTTGAAATGAAAAAGCAATTCTCGTTATATCTTAGTCGTGTAATGTGATTGGTTAGGTGATAGGTAATGTGGGTAGTTGCATGATTTCGCAGCTGTATCGGGCTACTTCCTGTTCTCCAGTCTCACATTTCATTCGCTTCTGAGAGGCGCTTATTGAACAAATGTGGTTTTAGGGCGGCGCGCCGGTTCGGATATTCTGCCTCGCACACATTGTGAGGTCTGCGAGGACACCCCAACCACCCCTTTTCGCCCATTCGTGAAGAATGGAGCATTGTCATCACACGATTGATTTCCGAGAACACGGTGCACGCTTTGAATGTAACTATCCAGTCGAAAGGCCGACATTCGTTCGGGCCAATGAAAGGGAGATAGGTGTACGAAGCGACTCTGTGGTGCATTCAGAAGCAGGCGATCCTTCTCCCCCTTGAAAGCGCGTACGAATTACGAGGGTAAGATTGCCCGAAGTGGCTTTATGAGAAGAATCTTCCTTATCCCGAAATCACAAAACATTTGAACAGAAAACTTACAGCAATATAATAACAATAATAGTAATAATAATAATAAATAATAATATATAAAATAAATAATAAATAAAATATATAATAAATAATAAATCGAGCTAAGTAGCTCAGCGCTCTGACTTCGCAACTGGGTGGTCCGGGTTCGTTTCTCGGGCCGCCAGCCTGACAGGGGTTTTTAGTTTCCCTCGGTCTTACAGGCAAATATTAAAAAAGCCCCCGATCACTATCATCATCCTATACACCTCAAGGTTTTAATGACTCGTCTTACCAAAGCATACAGCCGAAAAGTAACCCTGTATTGGCATACGTTAATCTCTCTCCGGGAGAGATTATAACTGGGCTGTGACAAGAACGTCAGAAATCGGTGGTCAGATATGGCAAATGCGCAATATTATTATATTATATATTATTATTATTATTATTATTATTATTATTATTATTATTATTATTATTAACATAATAAATTATTATAAATTTAATTAATAAATGTAATTATTATAATATATTATTATATTAAATATAATTATTATTAACAATAATAATAACAATAATAATAATAATAATAATAATAATAATAATAATAATAATGACAACAACAGAAACATCAATAATTGTTTTTGTAAGACATCTAGAATCTAGAGTAATGAAGCGTTTTAAATGTAATACTCGTATGTATATTATTTTGTGTTTCAAATACTATTTTATTTCTTCTTGATTTAGCATGAGGCATGTCGCATTTAGACATGTCGTTCTGGATTGAATAAAGGATTTTTTTGATCTCTTATCAACTATATGTTTCACTTTATTATGTCTCTACACGTGCACTCTCTCTATAATTTTCAGGGACATTAACTTGTGTGATATGATTGTAGGTTGAGTAAGAGTCCAGGTTAAGACCACAAGAACCTTGTTTATTACAGTTTCTATCTCTGATTTCAAGATATCTTTTAGGAGCCATAAACTTCCGATATCGCGAACTAGACGTAATATTTCCATAATATCTTAAACCCCTAAGATCCGCATCACTAGCATTTTTACTTCAATCTCTCTTGTTCTCGCCACAGATTAGTGCAGTGTACCGCTATGATATTTCGGAGTGAGGGAGCGTCTGAACCCACCAACGCAACGTCACGGCACGCCACGCCACGCCGCGCCGTGTCGCGTCGCTCCGGTAGCCCCGGCGAAGTCGCGGCCGCGAGTTGCCGGCAGCCGGCGGTTCACTCACCTCTGGAGAGGAGGGCCCGCGGCGGGCGAGGCGGCGGCGGCGGCGGCGGCAGAGGCCGCCCGTTGCGTGCAGGCGCCCGAGAAGATCCCAGGGCTGCCGCCGCCGCCGAAGCCTCCTTCTTCCTTCCATCGCTACGGCCGCTCGCTCGCGCGCGCACTGGCAGTCCATCGCTGCTAACAGCGCCGACGTGCAGGAGGCCATGCAAAAGGCAAATTATGTGAGACATTTTCGACCCCCCCCTTCCCGTGAATATTTTTTGAAGTAGGTAATATCAGTATTAAAAAAATTTGCTTGAATTAAAATAGAGTACATTCGTAACGGGAAAACTCACGTAGAATTTGATGCGAACAGGTTTATGGTAATGGGGCTCACGTCCTCCCTCCCTTCCCTGTTTACCCCTTGATGACGATAGTATTGCTTTGCCCAAAAGTAAACAGCTATTTTATCTATACAAACCTGTGAGAGTCAATGGGCGCACGTTTCCTTGATATCTCATTTGCCTGAATGTGAGTGAAGTGTGTGGGGAGGGGTGTATTTTGACAGCAGAACTATTCAGTGAAGTCTGTAGCTTGTGTTCCCATGCAAATAGTTTCTTTTACGCGGGAGTAAACATGTTTTGTTATCAAATGTAAACACAGCTCTCTGCTATCTTTTATTCACATTTTAACCATGATGAAAAAGGTAAGGAGTAGGAATTCCCGTACTCAAGAAAACGCGTGCATGATCCTTCATTGCAACCATGGGAGGAGATGAAATTGGAACTTTAAAATAATTGCTTAAATGGCTAATACACATATTAATAGCCATGCACCAACGGCGTTGTAAGGGCTCTAATGTTTGAGCAGCGATAAAAAGTCAATGTCTCTGACCCGAGGGCATTTTATCGCCCGACATTATTAGAACCAATTAACACCTTTAGTACATACAACATTTTATTTTTTACCTAATTTTAATGATTCATATTTACAACTTAACTAGATATACTTGGGTAGTAGTATCTTGTTTTTCATCAGTATATTCATATATCCCTCCCATAATCCCCTTTCTTTATTAATTCTTTGCAGGAGAACAAGTGTTTTCATATTTCTCTCGTATATGTATATCGAGCTCCATATCGAAGGTAGTAACAACCAATAATGTATGAGTAAAAAATAAATGTTTTTTCCTGAACCCAATTCACTCCCTTTTCAAATATTAAGGGAACCGCGTTTATTCTTACAATGATTTTTCCTTTCTTTTCCGCCTTTGAATTGTAAAGATGGGTTATTTCCGGCTGCGGGATACTATTTTCGGACCAATACAGTAACATTGCGGAAATCAGAAGACAAGACAAACCCTAATCATAGTAATATATAGTAGGTGAACGAAAAAGATCGCTGATGCTAAGACCTTTCTGTAATATCCATGTTAAATATACATGTTCTTCGAATATATGTGTAAGCTGCTTCGGTACTGGCTTCGGGGTGTTCGTTAGGAGCAAGTAAATAATTTCCAAACATCTGCAAAGCTATCAATTTTATTCATCCAGACCCTAACCTTTCGAAAGCTCTAAAACTAACGGAATGGAAAACATTTTATTTCATGATATTCTTGAGCTTTGAATTGAATGAGAAAAATCATTTATTCTGTTATTTACAAACTCATGTCACCATGAGTTATTATAGTTTCAGTTGTGAGTAACCAAACTCGCTGAGTTGGACAACTCGTCCCTTAGATTGATTGATTATTTTATTTTCTGGGCGCGCCAATTGCTGGGGTTTTTAGTCCCTAGTTGTAGTACTGTAGTCTGTAAGTGTAGTACGTTCTTTATTATTGGAGGTGGCTGTATTCTTCTGCCTCTCAATGGTGATATCCGGCTCCGACTTACACGGTGGCGTGTGAGAGTTTCCCCATCCAGGTATTTTCCTCCGACGGGGCACCGCCCCGTCTGGAACAAGCTCTAAGCGGGAGAAGCTCCCGACTCGTCTCTCGACGTGTGTGCTGGTGTAGCGCTTGTAAATGGGTTAGTTAGGGGTGAGGATATAAGGAAGAGGAAGGAAAGATCGCGTACGGTCGTGGCCCGCTTTTTAGGGAACTGCTCTAGTATTCGCCAGGTGTTTATCGAAAAAAACAAAACACGGAAAACGGATCAGAACAGCAGGCCGCTAGAATTCTCCTCCAGACAACAGCTGAATTTGACCATTAATGTGGAAATTCTTGCCATATTCAGGACTCGAACTCTAGGACCTTCTGGTCACAGATACTATAGAAACATCAGTTGATGCTCTGAGTCACCTCAGCCGGTCTTGCCGTAGAAGTCACAGCTGATTTTCATAGGCTTCTGTACAGTCACTGGGGCTAGACATTTGTAGTCAACATTATTCTTCTGTAATCCATCGTAGTTGACGGACTGTTTTCGCTTCTCAATAAAGAGCAGTTTTATAGTGAAGTAGTTCTGCTCTATAAAGAATGGCGAAGAATTTCACTGTTCTTTTGCTGTTTCCTGAAAGCTTTAAGTTCGTTTACCATCTGAGATAGGTACTTAGGATTCATATTGCTCAGATTGGATTGAGTGGACAAGTTTCCGTTCACCTAGATTCTATTAGTTTACAATTAATTGCGGTTGATATTAGTGCAGTTATTGTCCTGCCAAACAAGTCATTGAGTAAAATTACTTTTCACTTCCACAATTCTACGTTTTTAGGTTATGATCACTACACAAGGCACCACAACACTAGCTATAACACAATATTCTCATTTTGCAACATCTTTCAGTTCCGACACCGACAATAGTGTCTTCACCCCAGTCGTCGCTAGCACATCAATTCATGATGCATGAAGCACATCAATTCATGGTGCTAATATAGAGCTGACACGCGCTAATGTAGCATTCCGTTGTTGTTGTGCAGCCTATTAATTGGATGTGAAATGGAGAATCGTCTTCGCCAATGATTTAATGGATTGTTAAGCAATATCTTAAAGGTTTCCTATGTGGTATTACAAAAATATGGCGGGAAATTCAAAAACAGTTTGAACATAATTTGTTTATAAAAGAGTTTAGATGGTATTGCCGAAATATTTCGATCAATTTGAAAATTTTAATTTCACGGTGTTTGTTTGACTGACGATTTGCATAATCTCAAACAGTACTAGGTTTACGTTTTCCAAGAAAATTGAAGTATTGTGTCCGGTGCACGTCACCTATGCTTCCCTTCACAAATTGTCACAATGATTGACATAAAATAACCTAATTTGAGACAGAACGTACTACTCAATTCCCGTACCATCCACTCCTTCCATTCTTTATCGCTTTCTTAGCTTCTCTGGGCAAAATTATTGTCTATAGCCTGAAAAAATATTGTGCGTGACTGAACAATATACGACTACATTTCCTGCATCATTAGCACTCATTCCTTTCTCTTCTTCCCTCGTTTTCGCGGTGTCTCTATAGTGCAAAGCGACGAAAGAACCTTGTGTGAAGCATGCAATGTACATTTCTCGTATCCTCTACACTTTTTTCAGCATTCTCTATGCCTCTCTTAATCATTTGTTAGTTCTGAGAGGGATAACAATAGTGTGACACAGAGGGGAGATCGCATTGGCCGTACTCGCCGTCTTGCCTTCTTTTCATTCTCTTTTCCAGCTAAAAATTTGATAAGAGAAAATATTTGTTCTCGAAACAACGCGTTTTACACATTTTAACAAGGACGTAACGCCTTTCCCATATCCTTCACATCACTTCCTATCCCTCTTCTCTGCTTTTCTCGCTTTCTCACTGTCTCTAAATTGTTAGTTCTAAGCGTCAAAACATAGTGCGGGACAGAACGTTGAGTGAACATTCCCGCTATCTCCACGCACTTTCCACTATATTTCCGTTTCCTTTCTCTTCAGATCTTTAAAGCTTAGAACTGTTACAACAATATCATTCCAGAATCAGCGGAGAATACCTTTTCTGAATCCTTCTACACACAGTTTCCTCTTCCTCTTTCCGTCATTTTCCACGCCTCTCTAAACGAAGTTGTTAGTTCAGAGCGTGAAAACACTATTTCACGAGTCAGAACAGAGTATACATTGTCCACTCTCTTTACACCGTTCTTCTCTTTCCTTTCTGCTTCTCCATATGAATAGAAAGAGCTGTCAAGATAATTTTATTCAAAACACACTACAGCTAACAGTTCCGGAATCTCCCATCCACCCAGCTTCCTCTCCCGCCGTCCGTCGCTTTCCTCGTCCCTCTAAAACGAATTGTCAGTTCAGAGCGTTAAAACGGCATTACGTGAGTCAGAACAGAGTATACATTTTCCGTAGCCTCCACTCTCTTCACACCGTTCTTTCCTTCCCTTCCTGCCTCTCCAGATGAATAGCAAGACCTGTCAAAATAATTGTATCGGAGACAGAGCAGAGCGAGTGCCTATCTCCAATCCTCCTCCACCCCAATTCCTCTCCTTCCTTTCGTCGCTTTCTCCGCTTCCCCAGGTGAAGCAACGCGCCGGTGCCAGCGGCGGCGGCGGCGGCGTCGGGCAAGGAGTGCGGCAGCGGTCCCCCAATTTACGGCGCGTTTTAATGGCTCCCGGAGTGGCCAATTCGGAAATTCCACCGGGCCACGCAGCCTCCCGCCCGCCGCCGCCGCCGAGCCCTTGTTTTCCGTCCGCCCCGCGCGTTATAAGTTATTCGAGAGGTTGAAAAACGGGGCGGCGGGCTGGCTAGAGGGCTCGAAATGTCACCGCGACGTGGCTGCCTACGACTGGCTCTGTTCGCACGAGAGGATTTGTTGCATGACGACGCTCTATAGGAGTGAAAAATGTATTTTGATTATAAGTTTTGATTTTTATTAATTGGGGTAATAATAAACATTCAAGTAGGAGACGATCCTGTTCTGTACATTATATGATCGATTTAGACTCTCTTTGGTATCTTTATTTACGATTTGAAATTTTTTCTAGTACTATTATTATTGTTATTATTATTGTTATTATTATTATTATTATTATTATTATTATTATTATTATTCCTCAAAATTCAAGAGATTCATCTGATGTCATCCATTAATCTCAATGTAAGATGTATAAATATGGTTCTTAATATTCTTCTGATTACATTTTTATGCACAATTTATATAACGTGGGGCAGATTACGTCATTCCCTCCTCCTTCCGTTTCGCCTTTTCATTCAGGCGGAGGTCAATGTATTTCCATGGGGCCACGAGCAATATATTGAGAATCAACTATTGTTCGTTGCAAATATTTTGCTGTAATTTAAATTAGTCGATGGCAATACAATGTAAAGATAACGGATATCAATCTTCCATTTTGCCCGATTTAAATAAGAAAGGTATTCACGTCGACTTGGAGGCATTTAATTGCAACACATTATTGCGCTCATTTCCTGGAAGCAATTACTTATAATTCGGTTGCTTTTAAGGGAACTTTCCTAGCGTCACCGTTTGATGAGAAAACGGCGAATCTCACTTTATTTTATTTGTGCTCAGCAGTATCTTTTCGGGGTTGTTAAATCAATCATGTATAAGTACTCTTAGTCGTGATATATCCGCCCAATTAACACTATAGTATATTTTTAAAGATATTTCTTATTTTTGTTATTGCTTTTCCAGTTCAACTAACAGATACATATTGACAGCATGATATGGAGCAATTTTTGTAGTGTAAATAAGGCTAGATATTTGAGCAGTATTTAAATACCGTGACTTATCCAGAACATTTGTGTCCGAGCACTTCACTTCCGCACTTCCAACTTAACAAAAAGTAAAATCAAAACGGGTTTTTCGCCTCCTTTTGTCGATGATGAAGTTTGTGACATATGACCCCGTAAACAGGAAAAATTACTTAAGTTATCAAAAACCTAAATATCTTTTGAATACCGTGAGAACGTCCAGTGCACATGGCACCCGAAAGAAACCAGGTGACCGTCAATGAAGGAAGCTTAGGAGACCGAAAGCAGTCTCAGACTGCCTTTCTAGTTCCTCCGACGTCCTTTGTAAGTCACGGCAGGAATTTGCTGAATGTTACGAAACGACGACTGCTTTCAGGAGCGAGATTGCCTTTTGGAACGATGTTATGTATTTTACTTCATTATCGTTAATTTGAAACGAAATGGAGGTCGCGAGATCACAGCGCCCCGCTCTGTATCGCCGACACTGATTGATTTCCGACATCGTTGTTGAAGTGTGCAGAACTAATCCGAGGCAATAATAAAGCGCAGATGGGATCCAGGAGGCAGTGATTTATCACTGCATCGGGGGACGCTGCGGTAGTTGCGTGCGCTTCCGCCAGGGGCACCTCCATCAATTTCGCTTCTGTAAAGCAGCGACGAACTGCAGGAGAACCAGGGGCCGAAATGTAATTAAAAATATTGGATGGGGCTACAACTTTAGGCATTATTTACTTAAAGTTTGTGCCTTGAAGAGAAATAAAAAGCTCGGAAAAGTTAATAAAAATGTAATCTCTTTCAGAATTATAAGTGAATTTAAACTGTGAACATGTTTATGTAGGATGTAAAAGCAATGTATCATTGTCAGAATATTATTTGAAAAAGGTATCTACTCACCTAATGAGTTATCGACGTTAATAATATAATATTATTTTTCCTAAGTGATTATTAAAGCAAAGCTACCCTCATGCAATTGCAAAAACAAACCACCGATGTGACCCAAGGGGAAGATGAAGGTAGGAGTTCCACCAACTCGTCACCGTCGGCTCAACGCTCCGGCTGCCTTCACTCCCAGGGAAGATCTTGGGGCTCGCTTGAAAATGATGCTGTGTCCACCCCTGCGTACCCCTGAATGGGAATCACCTGATAAAAATACTGTCCTATGTCGGGATTCGATGCTAGGTCCATGAAACCGACCGCGGCTCCGGTAATAATTATTGGCCGGCTTGTATGGTTCAGAGGGTTGAAACATCATGCAAAAGATTGTGGATTCGAGTTCCGCGGTAGGCATGTTTTCATCGCATGAATCGTTCGCTTCACACTACCTGCAACTGAACCATTATCCCATCCATAATCAGCTTCGATCACCAATCACCGTTCATGATCACCCTTACCGTCTTCCTTATACTGAAACGAAATAAAAAATCACATTGTGTCCACTTGCCTGAAAAATGGGAGGCAGAAGCTTCATTCTTCGAATACGATCGATAAGAAATGTGACACTCATTACCATCTTTATTTTTTATTGAGAATTAACTGCTCTTTTTTCCCTTATCATTTACGATGTACGATATGAGAGAAGTTCATATGAAGCGCGCCGCAGCCTCGACATGCAGAATTTCGCATAACTAATAGTTAGTTGTCCTTATCTTTTGTCTTCTTTTATCCTCCGACTCCTGTACGCTGAAAACGAACTTAAATCTGAAAGCGAACTTTTGCAGAACTGTCTTGAGAGATCCCAAAAGTATTGCGTAAGAAGAAACTTTTCGACGCTGAGAAAATTCCAAGAATTTGCAATTAGTGTGTCAACTCTGAAAGTGCCTCGGAAGTGGCATTTTTTCTCAAGTGTAATAACATTTGTACAATCTTCAAGGGTCCTTACCTGGACTGTGCAAGTGTCAAACCTTATTTTCACGAAGACATCCAGAATACTATTGCAAGTTAGTGGCTTGGCTTCAAGCAGTTGTTGAGAGATTCCGGAACTAATTTTAAATCAAAGGCAATGATTTTATATACCTCCGTGTATATGCCTATATGAAAGTATACTACGACGCAGTTTGAAAAATATTTAAAGAAAACACATTTTTTTAATAAACTAATGTGCAACTCCTTTAAATCCAAACTTCAAATATGTGATCTTTTATTTCTATTTCAACCAGTGTTTTCTGAATGACAAGTAGATTTCTTTCTGCCTACTGTATAAGGCACGTTTTAACACCAGAATTGACAAGTCATTGAAAGGAAGGGTAACTGTTACTATGGTATCATCTTAAATGATTTCAATGTTAATCGTGACGTCTGTTAAGCCAAAAAGGCAAATAAAGTAATTGGAAGCTCAAAAGTTAATTTGACATACTGATTTTTTACGTTGCCTGATAGTAGTTCTTTGTAGACAGACAGGGCTTTTGGCTTACAGAAAGTTTTAATGATGTATTGACTGACACTGAAACTTTAGAACAATTACGAATAGATATCTTAAAGAGTATAACATTTTGATGCTATTATGTGGATACTGCAATGAAATGTTCAAAAACATTTCAGGGTTCACATCCCCACTACTCCACGTGACTACTATTTTCTATCGACCTAATCTTGACTGTATTATCTTGTGACAGACTCAGATCTCTGCCTATTGTAATCCTAGATGTGTAACGTCAAGACAATGTTTTTCTTCGAGCATACTTTCCGTAGACCTCATTATGAAGAGACTCACAAGGAATGTAAAATGTTTGAATTCCACCGAGTGGACGAGGGAAGACTAGAGCATTCGTCTGCGAATATTCTCATCTCGGATAACTACTCGACGTTAGTCTCCGCATTCACTCCGCTCCAGTGGCCCCGGAGGGTGTCGCCCGAGGTTATTAAAAGAAGAGAGAAATAACCCTTGGCCTATTTCCTTCTCCTCTCGCACTGCACGTATAATAATTATCTTTAAGCCTTCTCCCATGAAAATAAGGGGCTTTTACGATGTCCCGACGTCATTCGAAGGCATTAGGACCGACTCATTAACCCAGAAACAGGCTTTTAAACCCTTCAAAGAAAATTTTGGAAATGTGGGATGCTGCGTTTCTGAAATTGTGAAATGTGAATCTTTTTTCTATTTAAATGCATTATTCTGATCGTGGTTCGTTTTTGTTTTGTTCATTATTTTTAAAATATGAAAGTGGTTTTCTTTACACTTTAGAGACGAAAGTGTTGGTTACCAACTTGTTTCTTCCGTACAATGAATGAGTACTCATTTAATATTTCAAATGCGTTCTAAACGGCAAATAATAATTTGGTCTCATTACCTCAAATATTACCCAGCGAGTTTGGAAATCAGAGACAAAACATTGGTTTTTAATTTTTGAAATTGATTGATAAAGATAAATGTAACATTTTCTAATTATCTTTGATGAGACATAAATAGGAAAGAGATAAAAACGTAGTTGAATTATTAATTTTATGGCTCTTGCAATTTTGTATGCGAGTTTTAAAACTAAGAGTACGTGTAAGGAGCGTGTCGATCTTCCCAAACTAAAGACCACCGTTACCATAATGCACTGTTTAAAGTTGCATCAGAACTTCACTGAAGTATTCGAGTGCGCCGTTTAGTTCCTAGCACGCATCGTATGCAGGCATTACGGCTCCGACGCCCGCCTCCAAGTGTTATTGAAACTCAACAACGTAAAATTTTTCGAAAGTAATATCCAATGGCTCCCTTTGGGCGGGGGCGATCGCAAAAGCACTTCGCCCGTGGCATTTGCGGTCGCCGGCGCTTCTCTCGTCGCTTCTTCTTCTACTGTTTCTTTACTCCTTCTTCCCCTCTTCTTCTTCTCTCTTCTTCTACTCTCTTCTTTCTCTTCTCTACTACTGGAGTCAGCGACGCAACCTTTGAGGTCATCTACGGGCGGCTAATTTATTGATTTTTGGTTTGCAAATTAAGACCAAAAAAGTCACGCCCTATCTTCCGGCAGGCACTTATCTAAGGGGGGGGAAACATGTGCCAAGAAAAGTATTGCCTTACTCATTTACCGCACCTTACAAGAAAATTGAAGTGTGTACTCTTCGAATGTTTGCGAACATTTCGAAAAGGGCGAGGAAACCCATTAAAATTCTTTACACATTTCTTAAAGCTGCTAAAAAGTTTGTAATTTCCAAAAGAGTCATTACATTTTGAGTGCTTGCTGATCAAAATAAAGTTTGCCAAGAGTGACCAACAATTTGTTTACTGCTCCCCGTAGCAACGATTGTGGTGGCTACGATGGCTGTTGCGAGCAATAATTAATTTTACTTAAAAAGTAACTAAAAAGCAATAAATTAGCCATCCGTAGATCTCTTGAAAATATCTGCCGCTTCCTTCCGGACTATCATCGGCTGAGGTGGTTCAGAACATCAACTGATATCACTGCAGTGTCTTTGATCGGAAGGTCCTAGGTTTCTAGTTCCAACGGTGGCGGGATACTAGCTACAGAGCTAGGCCGAGTTGGTGAGAGATACCTGAGAGGGAAACGCGCAAGCCGACGTCGACGCCAGTTCTCACCTTCCGGTGGCGGTAGAACACCACAATATCCCTTCATAAAGATGAACTCACTTTCGGGACTAATGACCATAGTGGTTATCGCCCGTAAACATAAAATAATCAATCTTCTTTTTCGCTCTCTCCTCATTCCCTCCCGCTCAGCCTGCCATGACCATCACCGTCGCCGTCGTCGTCGTTGCCGCCGCCGCCGCGAAAAGTTCTCACATTTATTGGAACGAGTTTTCTAAACTCTGGGAAGCAAGTCCGCGGCCTGCTCGATGAGTCGCGGGCGCCTGCATTGTGTCGGTGTGCTCATTTTGAATGGATATTCTTACGTGTCGCTTAAAAATACACCGGTGCCGCGGAAGCCCCGCACCGAAATAAATTCGCTTTGTAAACAGCTGTCGCGAAGTTGCTCGGCGGTAGGGACCGGCTCTGCGGTTCCCTTGCGCCCGGCTCCGCCCCGCTCCGCTCCACCCTATTCGGCCCCGCCCTTCCCCGCCATGCTCCCATCCCCTCGCACTTTCTCCGTCAGTTCAATGCCACATTGAGAGTTGCGGGCAAAATTTATGGAGGATTCCTATTGCATCTTCCACCTCCCCCTCTCTCTTCTCCGTTCCGCATCTTGATCCCTCACTCCTCCCTAATATTGTCCATCAGTTCGGTTTTTTAATTGTTCTGTTTTTATTGAACCGTTTATTCCCTTTCTCATGTGAAAGTTTTGTCTTTCTCTTACCTTACTCTATCATACTCTCTCGAAAATTGTGTACTTATTTAACATGCAGAATTATAACTTTCTCTATCACGTTTCATTCAAGTAACTTTGACAGCGTAGGAACTTCGTAGTTTTGTTTTATCTCAAACTTCACAATCTATTCCTAGCTAAAGGAATGATAATGGACATTTTGAAGACATCTGAAATGGTTTTCAGGGCATATCTCCCTCTCTGTCTGTGCCTGTCTGTCTGTCTCGCTCGCTCGCTCGCTCGCTCTCTCTCTCTCTCTCGCTCTCTCTCGCTCGCTCTCTCTCGCTCTCTCTCTCTATCTCCATCTCTCCCTCTTCTCTCTCCCTTGTTCTGTCTTTCCCACTCTCCCCTTTTCCTACATCCCTTTCCATTTTCACTCTCCCTCCTCTACTAATATCTCCTCCTTCTCTCCTCTCCAAGCATCTCTCTTCTCGCTCCTTTCTCCATCCTCATGTTTAATTTTTGCCGCAGTTCTCCTCCCCGCAATCCCTTCTCCAACCTCGCATTAGCTCTCCGTCGATCACCGAGAAGTGGTCTCTCCGCAACCGCTATGGACTTGTTTGGCGGCGGGGCGGCGTTTGTGGACGTCTGTGTCGGGCGCACCGCGCCCCTGCTCGCCGGTCTTCTCGCGCCCCCTGCGCCGAGGTGACCGCGGCTGGGTCGCGCCGTCGTGCGCCCCTCCCCCGCTGCAACCTTTCGAAGGCCGGGGCTATCTGGAGGCCGGAATCGCCCCCATGACTGCCTGCTACTGAACTTCCCTCTCCGGAACGAGGTACGAGTTAGAGGCAAACTTCTCACATAAAATCAGTGTGAATTAAAATAATAATAATAATAATATAATAATAATAATTATGTATTATTATTATAATATTTTGAAATCGTAATAAAACATGTATTTAGCCGAAGGATTGATTTAGTACTCAAGTGAAAGTTTATTATACTTTTACGGAAATATTGTTCTTCAAAATAATTAGAAGAAATTATTAATAGACAAGTTAAGAATTCCTTCAGGAATGACATTACATAGTGAATATAATATTGACGTTTTGAATTGATTTTAATGATGAAGTTGTGAACCTTTTTTTTTTAAGTTTTCATTTTATTTTCGTCGACTTTTTAAAACATTTTTCTTTTGAAAGAAATGCTCTGAACGCGGAGAAC